GATCCTATGGTGAGCAATTGAAGAAGCTGGGACTGTTTAGTTTGAGGAAGAGAAGGCTGAGGGGAGACCTCATCACTCTCTACAACTACCTGAAAGGACATTGTAGAAAGGTTGGTGCTGGTCTTTTCTCACGGGTGATTAGTGACAGAACAAGAGGGAATGGCTTTAAACTCCAGCAGGGGAGGTTTAGACTGGACATCAGGAAAATTTTTTTCACAGAAAGAGTGGTCAGACAGTGGAATAGGCTGCCCAGGGAGGTGGTGGAGTCACCATCCCTGGATGTGTTTAAGGGTCGTTTGGATGAGATGTTGTAGGATATGGTGTAGGAGAGAACTTTGTAGAGCAGGGCTGATGGTTGGACTCAATGATCCTCAGGGTCTTTTCCAACCTGAATGATTCTATGAGTCTATGATTCTATATTGAGTACATACAAACCAAAGTAGCTGCTGATAGGTTTAGAGACACAGAAGTGCAGTAATTTGGTACACAGTTGTCATGGCAGCTAACCTACATCTAAATTAGCCTGTACGCTTTCTCAGGCTCTCTCTCTAGAGTTGTTCCTCCTGTTTGAATTGTCAGTTCCTTTCTTTTGAGGCCTGACTTCCACAAAGCACTTGTTTGTGGCACTTTGGCCTCATCTGCTAGCTCAGCCCTTTCATCCTCGCTTACTCCATATTCAGTTGATATTATTCGTTAATGGAAGGGGAAGCCAGAGGAGTATGAGGCAGAGGGAAATGATGGTCTTCCAGTTACTCTGCCTGTTGAGAGCAGCTTCTCGAAAGCTGATTTTTGCTGAAGTAAACCACAGTGGTAACTCCCTTCGGTTTCAGGACTTAAAGCTTGCTGCAAATCATTGATTTTTATGAAGTTACTATAGATTCACAGTGACATAATAAAAGCCAAATTTAGCCTTAAGAAGTGAATTTATCAAATGATGAATTAATTCTGCTCTGTGGATGCATAGCAGTGAAGCAGGGTGCTATCTCTTCTATCCAGAAAACAGGCTTTGAAATGCTTTAGCAAAGCTTATTACCAGGTAGAAATATTAAAAGAAAGGGCAATGAGTTCTCCAAGCTCTTTCCCTTCCATTGGCCTCCCTCTCAGCACAGTTATAAAGCAAGTTCAGTGCTATTCATGGATTTTAAGGTTTCATTATTTCACAGGATCACAGAATCATCTTGACCTTGACCTCAGGGTCATGTAAAAGACCTTGAAGATCATCCAGTCCAACCATGAACCTCACACTGACCGTTCCCAACTCCACCAGATCACTCAGCACTGGGTCAACCCGACTCTTAAACCCCTCCAGGGATGGGGATTCCACCACTCTCCATTTACCGAGGGATTTTTTTTTTCTGCCAGTATTGCAATAATGCAAGCACTGCAGCAAACACTTACATGAAATATTACAATAAATATTTAACTTTGGCAAAACTTGCTGGGGCATTTCAAGCACCCTAGCTGCTGAGCCAAGTGCCCGCAGCAATGACATGAAACAGTTCCTTTCTGTCAAATCAATTTCAGAGGAAAACCTGGCTATTTCTGACCAATCACCCTTTTTATCTCCCTACTTGCCACCTCTGCGAACTCAACTGTGACGTGGATTCAGGGGAACCCAGCCCGGGTCTTATCAGTTCCTGACAGATCATGGATAACCGACATGCATTCTGCCTATGGCTGAATGTGAGCTCAGGGTTTACAGAAAGTGCGATCAGAAGATAAGAAGCAGAGAGTATTTACTTACTTATTTTTAATATAGTAAGCTCAGCGTACTGTCAAAGCAGAAGTTTTATCTAATTTTTAAGAAGATTCAGTTTTGGTATCAGTTTGGTTGGTTCCTAGTTTTCAGGCAATTGCCTAGAAGACGCTGCTGCTGAAGACTTGTCATTACCAGATACATTTGCCTGCAAAGTCAAGAAGTGGGGATTATTCAATTTATCATCCTCATATCACAAAGTAGTAGAAAAATCCCTGGATTTGTAGGATTACAGGCCATGCTAAAGTGATCTCTTTTCAGGGATACTGAAAGCTGTGAGATTCAGCAAGAGCTTTTTGCTCTTATTTTCTGAGTTCATTTAATCAGTCCAGTCCAGTCATCTCAGGACAGCTTGCTTTTTAAAATGGACTTTCAAAATATTAAAAACAGGGCACATACTAAGCACAAGGAATAAGATTTTGAGACATGACAATGAATAAATACTTCATGATGATTTAGGCTTGCTGAAGACCTGCCCCCATAAATGCATTATGTGGTAGTTTTTTAGACAGCTGAAGAACTAAACCAATTGGTTTTTGGAATAACTGGAAAAGAGAGACAGGTCTGGCAACAGTATCAGGATTCTCTCTCTAGACCTGTGGGGAGGAAAAGGAGATACTATACATCATGGTAAATGTTTAAGGGAGAAGTGGATTTCCTCCCACTGCTTTTTAATCTTAGTATGTTACACTCTCCCACTCTAATTTTTGCTCTTTCACTGTAAAAAGCTGCATGCATGCAATAAAATTCTAATAAGGGAAAGCACTGCAGGCTGAAGTAGGCATCCCAAAGGGAGTCACGAAACTTGAAAATAAAACAGAGAATCACACTTTCCATTCAGAAGAATGGGAATGTGTGACACTTCCCATTCAAAAAAATGTCAGCTAAGTTATATATATATATATACTTGTATTCCATCTGTATTGTCTAATATAACAATTTCACATGAATTGCCCATGAAAAGTACTTTTCAGGGCTCTTGGCAAAGATCAGAAATATTGTTATTTGCATTTTACAGTTGGAGTAACTGAGTTATGGGGAACAGAACTGACCAGCCCAGACTTCTAGCACATTGACTGCAAGGCCTTCCAGCTATCATGCGCCTCTTAGCACAACACAGATCTCTGAAGTTATCAGGGATATAATTTATTGTTTATCCGTCTCACAAAAAAAAGCTACTTGCCAATGTTGCTGACAAGGAATTCTTTCACTTTGGGGGTACAATTTGTTTAGTAGTTATTATAGCAAGCTGTGATTCATAACGTTTGGATCTCAGTCATATTTTGCATGGCATGAGAACAAAGTAAATTACATTCTGGAGAGCTTTGCCAATGAAATATTAAAGTCAATATCTGTGATAAAGCTCACTGCTATGCTTTTCAGCAGTACTGAGGGAGAAGTGCAGTACATTAAGTCAGGTGTCTATCCTTCCCAGCCTTAGAGAGATTGCTCTGATGTTTTTGAGGCTGATGATGACATAATAGAGGCCCCAATCTCTGTGAAGCTTCAGGGAGGGAGAGGTTCAGGAATGGTTCAAAAGTAAAGGTGTCTCTCTGGTGTTCCCCTGTTCTGCTACGAGCTGAGGCATATTGCTAGGTCCAAGAGGCTGGGGGCAGGGGAGTCATGAGATGAAGACAAGGTCCTGATCCCAAACAGTTGAGGTTGAAGCATGTGTTGGCTTCCTACTGCTCTGCTGGCACAGTTCCATAGGGGAGACACAGGTCTGAAGAAAGCGGTGGGGGCTACCTCACATTGAGCCTCACCTAAAACCCGGGTTGAGGTGTAGCTCAGCAGTGCTCCCAGGGCCACCCAATTCAGACAGACCAGAAGTGGTCTAGCTTCAGCAGTCCATGCTGCTGGTTTTCCTCTTACAACCCCAGGATAAGATTACTCAGCAAACCTATTGCTAGCACCCTGCCTCCTCGCTGGTCACTTGACATACCACTGTTAAGGTAGTTGGCAACAAACTGCCTGCCAGCTGCAGACTGCTCAGGAGCCCATCCCACCTCAGCTGCCCTGGGCTCTGCTCCTCCAGCAGCACTGCTCTCAGGCATGTTCCCTTCCCTGGAAATTTAAGCATCTGTGGTGATGACACGGCTCTTTCAAGGCAAGAGTTTCCCAGCTTTCTAGGCAGTGAAACCGATGGCTTAGCGTCTATTGGCTTTCAAGCGTGTCATTGGCTTCTGTAGGAACAGCACTGGTTTTTGAAGATGTGGCAATCCAATGACATGCCACTGCTGAGGCGACTGGTCCTGCTCCCTGTCTCCATGTGTGTGCTGGTCTGACACCATGGGGAGCGGGCTGTCACTCCCCAGCTTTCTATGGGGTTCGTTCTCTGGACAAATTTGGTGTTGGGTCAGACAGGTGTTGAGGGTTGCTTAAGGAAAGGGTCACAGCTGTAGCGGGTAGCATGGAGGACGTGAGACAGCAGCCAGCACTTGATTGCAACTGAAGGTTGTGAAATTGTCCCCTAAGAGTGTGCTTGAACACACAGATGGGCAACCACTAAGTCCCCCATCACTCATCTATCTGTCATTTCAGAGTTCATCCATCAGTTATCTGATACCTGTCTTCACTGCCTGTTGGCGTTACCCTGTTCTCCATCTTTCACCCTTCCACTGCCTGTCTTGGGCTGCAGATTCCCCTGACCTGCCCAGGCCTACTGAACAGTGCCCAGCAAATGACATCTTGACATCACTTCTTACATACATTTCACGCTGATGTAATAAATGCATAGAGAGCCTGGCAGTGGCTACACAGCAGCATCCTTCTTTGTTCTGCATTTGAGCCACTAAGAATTTTACTCTTTTGGAGGGGATGTTACTGTGCTGATTAATAGAAGAGATCTTATTGTAGTACTATCCCGTTCCTGCATATTTAAACTGTGCATATCCCTTAGGTCCTTGCCTGTATTCCCTATCACATTAACTCTTTCGAGTAAATTTCCTTCACTAACCACCAAATCCCCCATCCCATCACCACACCTCCCCAAAGCACATCCCTGTGGCTCGAGGGATGTGGCTGCATCATGTCATGTTTAGCTGGGTGTCAGGGAGCAACGGATGGGTGTGGAAGGGCTGAGCATGGCTTTGGAGCCACGCTTGCTGTGAGTCTGCAATAAGCGCGAGGAGGGTTGGACCGGGTGACCTCTGCCAGTCCCTTCCCACATCAGCCAGCCCGCTTCTGCGATGTTTGTTTCAAACTCTTTGCTTTCTGCGCTCTGTTTGTGTAATCAAGGGCGTGAATGTCCTTCGTGTACCGGCCGACCTGCAGCGCGGCGGCGGTCACGGAGCAGGAGGCCACGGCAGCGCCCCGGCTCTCCGCGCAGCCGGGCCCTTCCCCGCCGCCCTCCTCGGC